TGCGCATTTAGTGATGGATGGCTTAGGAATTTCAAGACTCGTCATGGTATTAGACAGTTAGATATTGCTGGAGAAAGACAGTCGGCTGATACACAAGCAGCAACAAAATATAGTGCAACATTTGAAAAAATTGTAAATGACTATGATCTCACAGCCGATCAAATTTATAATGCTGATGAAACAGGGGTTTACTGGAAGTGTTTGCCCACAAAAACTTTGGCTGGAAACCAAGAACGAAATGCAACAGGTTTTAAGCTTAATAAGGAAAGATTAACCGTTCTTGTATGTGCTAATGCTTCAGGTCAGCATAAAATTAAGCTTTTGGTGATTGGCAAATTTAAGCGCCCACGGGCCTTTAAAGGAATTGTGCACTTGCCTGTGACCTATAAAGCCCAAAAGAGTGCTTGGATGGACAAAGACATATTTTGCGATTGGTTTATTCATGATTTTGTTCCATCAGTTCGTCAGAACTTATGGAAATTGGGGAAGCCTGCAAATACAAAGTGCCTGCTACTTCTCGACAACTGTAGGGCCCACCCGCATGAATCAAAATTAGTCTCTGATTGCGGGAATATTTATGCATGTTACTTGCCACCAAACGTAACATCATTGATTCAACCCATGGATCAAGGAGTCATTAGGAACTTTAAATGTCACTATAAAAATGATTTTATGACGAAAATGATGAATAAGAATGTCAACCCTACAGAATTTCAACGCAGTTTTACGATCAAGGATGTAATATTTTCACTCGTGACTGCATGGAATGCAGTCACGAGTGAAACACTTTTAAGAGCGTGGCGAAAGTGATGTTTGCAGATCTAGTGTGTGATCAAGACAAAGATTTTGAAGGATTCCACATAAAGCAGAGGGCATCTGAAGTGCAAGAACTGATGGAGACTGTTAAATTATCTCTGGAAGACAACCATCTACGCAAGCTTAATGCTGCTGACATAGAAGAGTGGATACACATTGAAGATGATATTGAAGTTGCTGCCACTTTCACTGATCAAGAAATCATTCAAAGCATTACAACTCCTGAGAAGATAGAAGAAAACTGTTCAGAAGAATCTGGTGAAGATGACAAAGTTGAAGAAAAGATATCTTGGGCTGCTGCAGAAAAGGGCATTGAAACAGTTATTAAATTTGTGGAACAGAACCATAGCTTCAGTCTTCAAGATGTCATGCATGCACACATGGTGCAGAATAATCTTATCACAAAGAAATTACAAAGTCGTAAACAAGGTGATATACCAAAGTATTTAAAGAAAGCAGTCAAGCAGTGCAGTAGAAGCTGCAAGTGCTCCATCCACAAGCAGTGCAGCAGACGATATAGAAGTCGTGGAAATCAACGAATAAATATTTATTTGTTGTTTTGTACTTTGTATTTATAGGAAAATGTTTCGTTAATAAACTACAAATAAATAAGTAATTTGTATAAAATAAATTCTGCTTTCATTTGTTTACTGTATTTTTCTTTTACAATGTTCATTTTTAAACATGATTTCAAACATTAAACGCCCCTTTTTTCGAAGTGAAAAATATTTGTTTACATTTTTGTCAAGTGTTGAGTTTATTTTTTTTAAACTGCTCGTTTTGATATTGGAAGCATGCTATATTTGCTAATGAATAAACTATCAAAATGTACCTGTTCATCTCTTCTTTATTCCTCCTTAAATTTGAATGTATTTTTTTTTAAAGAAATATTTACTATACTATACCCCAAAATATTAACAAAACCTTAGTGAATGTTTAATTAATAAGATAAAACAATTATTTTGTATTGTACTGATGGGCATTAATATAGTTTGTGTTGGTCTGGATACTATGCACTGTTCTTAGGCCCAATGCTACACCAATGTCCACAACACGTTCACCTTTACCAAAACGGTTTAACCGTTATTTTCCTAACAAGTAACAGTATATAATCTTGTATTTCTTTTCATTACCACTTGATGGGTTACAGTACAGTATTTGTAGCAAAAACACTTAAAACACATCCGTATGTCGTGGAAGCTTAAGAAAGACCGGGAAGATGATGACTGGGGGGAGAGAGAGGCCATATTCTGCATGCCATACAAAGTATCTAAAGAGTAGCAACATTATAACAAAACAACATTAAGCGAGAACTTACTGTACATAATCAAACCACTTGCTTGAAATACTCACTGCAGGAGGAAAAGACCAAGTGCCAAGAACTAACAGAGCGTGATACACAGCCAACATTTCCCTACCTAATGTATATTTTATATGCAGAGAACCTTACTGAGCTGATGTAGCCAAAGGTATATTAATCCCCTTAGCTACAGTTATCCAGATGGTTCCTGTATTGGTTACACAAACTGGATAAACATTGATATCATTCTGCACAACCATTAAACAATTAACATTACCAGCAGATCTTTTCTTAAATATTATGACCAAGAATAGTTGTCAAATAGTTTATACTAATTAGTGGCAGTACTCCTAAAACTACTTAATAAATGAAGATTTTCACACATAAATAATGTTGAAATATTTAGTAGCAATTATTATTACTTAGATCTTTTACAAGGCCAAATATTAATCTCCCCTAAACATTGCCCACTTTATCATAACCTGAGAACCTTCCTTTAAGTTTATTTCACAAAGACAAAGTGATCTAGGTGTTCCGATATTTAAAAAAACTGGTACGGTTCGTGTCCGCTTTACGCGAGCTCACAATCCAATCAATATTAACTACCGGACGAAGGCACGCATCATAACAAGCATGTTAAGAGTCCATAATACTGTACGTAACAACTAGTACAACACTCGTCAAATTTAAAAACAACTGCAGAGTACAAGGATGTTGGCCCTCAAATGAATTAAGAGATATCTGATCACGGGCTGTAGGGAGAGTGAGAGACAAACAATGTCACACAATATTAGAGTCTGGAGATTGATATATTATAATTTAAACTTTTATAGCTTATAAAAATACAGTAATTTACACATGGGGGATTTGTCTTGTAATGTACATTATTTGACAATGAATACCACAACTCACAATGTTTTTTATGTGTAATAACGTTAGGTAAGAGAAGGTGGGTCCAGGAACTATGGGAGACAGAGATACAAGTTACCTGATAGTGAAGGAAAAGTCGGCCTCGGTCCCCCATGGAAGAACTATCATATGGTACTTCCTCTCATATTGATGTTGCTTGTCTTCAGATATTACTGTACCAAGATTTGGTCCTCTGACACACACACACATTCTACACTCACCCAAACATCAAAATTTTTCTTTTCTCTAATTTTGAATGTTTTCTTTTTTATCTACATCTCCTCCTCAGTTCAACAATTCCCCCACTGTATACTGTACTGTACTTAGAAAGCCAACATTCATTCATGTCACAATTATACTCTACACGGCTTGACTGACTGGTGGCTATACTTCCCACAGTACAAACAGTAATAAAATATATTAAAAATAAATTACTACAACATTTCTACATAAATTTCCATTATACTCCCATTCAGTTTGACATGACACCTTTTCTATATGATGCTTTCTTAACCTTTAAACTGTAACCACCTCAGTGAGAGCAGTCATCATGTGGAAGGTCCAGGTTCCTTGCATACTGGGGGGGGGGGGGTCCTTAGCAACCACTTGAGGGTTAAGTAAGTTGTAACTGCTCTCCCTTTGTTAAGCCATAAAAAACATAAAAAATACTGTATACTACAACTGTTTATGGTCTGGTGTTAGGTCATTAAAATGGTAATTCAGAGAGAAGAGAGAAACTAAAATAAGTGGGGGGGAAATTTTGAATTACAAAGAGTGAGGGAGTTTTAGCAAAGCTTGTACTGTATTTACACAACTCTATACAATTAAAACCATTATCCTTCTGGTGACACCTAGCATAAAACCTGCAGACTTCATATACCTGACAACTCATATCTTACATAACCCAAGCTACCTTGATACAAAATGAATAACTCAAATAGTTACTTAAATACAGTACATACTGTTATGTCCATCATACACACATAGTTGGGCTCTTCAGAGTAAATAAAGTTCAGTATAACAACATAACAAGAATGATTTTAAAAAGATAATAACATATAATGTAGAAAGCCATAAGACCCAAGGCAAGACACCGTACGAATTAAAACCAAAGTTTGAGATACGTTGCTGGCACACGGGTCACTTTGTGCATTATTCAAGACACTTCTCTTAATGAACCATACCATAGGATGTAAGAACTGCTCCACCTCACAACTGTTCAACATTTAAAGCCTCTATATTTTATAGTTAATTAGTCTATGGTGATAATGCAATTAAAAAAATAATAATTGTTCAAGTTTAATATGCATCATCAATACCCAAGACAAGTGCATGAGGGGAGCTACCACATGTGTTTGATATATCACTTAGAGAGAAGAATTTCTACATTAGGTTATACTGTACTGTATATGCAAATAGTTCAGTCAGTTTTAAAAGGGTAATATTAAAAGCGCAAAAAAGTATAATTAGTAAACATATCTGGGGAGAATAACTGAAGGGGTATGTTAGTGTACACAGGGTGGAGGAGCACCTCACTGGTGTTCCTGGCTGAATAGTGCTGTCATGGTGCACGAAGGAAGAAGGTTCTGCTTAAAGCATCTTTTCATTTAGTATAAGAAGGTTTATAAGGATATAGACAGATACATAGACTTATTATTTAAAGGAAGGGAGATCATAAGATGATGTAATTAACATGAGCAATCAAGGAGATGTGTGCTTCAATACACTTGAACTTTTGTAAAATAATTAAATATTTTAGATGGCACTAAACCTGAAACACTCAACTACACCATCTTATGACTGTAGTATAGACATCAAAAACAGATCTGAATATATGTTTTACTCTTAAAAATCTAATATATATATATATATATATATATATATATATATATATATATATATATATATATATATATATATATATATATATATATATATATATATATATATATATATATATATATATATATATACACACATACATACGCTGGACATCTGCAGAGTAACCTCTCCAGTGGCACCAAACGTGATGATATGGTGGTAAGCCAACACACATTAATCACCCCAAATTCCACCATTAAAAATGTTTTCAATATTGGTGGGTTGCATCTGCTAGCGATGACGCCTCGGGGCACGGGCTCTTGGCCTTCTTGTGGCAACGGAGGCTGGGCCATTACCTGAAAATAATATATATGCTGTTTAGGAGTACATCATGATACTTTTATCTTTCAAAATTATCTACATAATACTTGGGAGGGGGCATTTTCCACTATTACTCGATGGCTGATCTCCATTCAGCTTCTGTCATCAGGTTCTTATCTCTGAGGAAATTTCTTTCAACCTTTCCCTGTGTCATTACTGAAGGTCTCCTCGTTCTCTTTCACTCACGCACCTCTTGATGTAGTTGGTTTCCTGCATTCACTCCCATATGCCTAAATCCTCTTAGCCTTCTTCTAAACAAAACCTCTCAAACATTCTCAACATCCTGCTGCCCTTTTAGCTCTGAACAGGGTTTCCTATCTTTCGGCATCACATTACATTTCCATCTCTAAAGCCTACGATTCTCATCAAATGATCTCAACAAATTTAGGCAAGTGGGTAATAGGTAAATCACTCTGAAGTGTCCTTTCCACTTACAACATTTAATAAACTCAGTTCATGGAACTTTAAATGAATAATAAACTATTAACCTTCACAGCATCCCTGTTCTACAAGTTATCAACTACTGTACTCAGCAAAGAGTAAGGTGCCATATTTGTCAGGAGACTAAATCACTCAATTGAAAGAAATTAAACCCCATCACATTGTACAATACACACTAAAGCCATCAGGACATTACAAGAACGGGAATATAAAACAAATGGTGTTACTCACCTGCACTGAATGAAGGGGCATTGGTAGAACCAAACTGAAACACTGGACCTCCTGCTGCACCAGTGGCAGAGACTCCACCAAATGTTGAAGGACTGGTAGCTCCTCCAAATGTTGGGGGACTTGCTGCTCCAAATGATGGAGTGTTACTTGCTCCCTGACCAAACTGGAATGTTGATCCTTTATTAGTGGCAGTCTTATCACTGCCAAATGTTGTTGATCCAAATGACGGGGTTTGAGTGGCACCAAAGACGCTAGTGCTTCCTGTACTACCAAAGGTAGGGGTTTGGGCAGGGTTATTACCAGCTGCAAATGATGCTGTTGCTCCCTGCACTCCAAAAGGATTAGCACCACTGTTTGTTTTGTTACCATTTGGTGTTCCAAATGTGGGGGCAGTGAAGGAAGCATTTGGAGAAGTAGCTCCAAAAGCATTAGTTGATCCAAATGGTGATGTTGGGTTCACCGTTGCAGTTGCAAAACTGGGGGTCGACGTTCCAAAGGTTGGGGTGCCCGTTGTTGTTGCTCCAAAGCTCTGACTTGGATTAGATCCAAAATTTGTGGCAGTGGCCGTACTTCCTCCAAAACTAAATGGAGAGGTTGCAGAGCTTGCACCACCAAAACTGGGAGCCTTATTAGTATTGCTGCCAAAATTAAATGAGCTGTTAGCTTTCATATTGGTGGAAGGAGCTGTTCTTGGTGAACTAAACTGAAATCCAGAGGCTTGAGTGGTGGCCGGAGGACCAAATGAGAAGCCTGCCGAAGGAGGTGAAGTGGTCGTGCTGGCAGCTGGCACAGGATTAAAGCTGAAACCAGATGATACAGCTTTACCAGATGTTTCTGTAGTGCTACCAAATGTCTGGCCAGGAGTGTTGCTTTTTGGTGCACCAAAAGTAAATGGTGATGGAGTAGCTGCTGCAGCTGTTGTTGTTGGTGGTGGTGCTCCAGCTGTACCAAAGGAGAACAAAGGAGAAGTAACAGTACTGGTCTGTGTACTTACTACAGCAGGAGCAAATGGCTGTGGAAGTGTAACTGTGCCTGTTGGAGCAGCTGGTCCTCCAAATTGAAAGACAGAGGAGGATGGTCCTGATGTAGCTTGTGTAGAAGATGAGCCAAAAGTAAAGGGTGAGGCTGATGCAGTAGTGGTCGGTTGAGATCCTGCACTTTGTCCAAACGAAAATGAGGATGTCTGATTTGTGGATGTGACACTTGCTGTTGTAGAATTAAATGTAGAAGGTGATGTAATAGATGCTGTTGATACACCAAAAATTGGCTGCACTACAACAGGTGTTACAGATACACCACCAAATAGTGATGGTGTTGTAACAGATGTTGAAGACACACCAAAGGGTGCTGTTGCAGATGATGATGTTACACCAAATGGTGATGGTGCTGCAGCAAGTGATGGTGTCACACCAAATGGTGATGGTGCTGCAGCAGATGATGTCACACCAAATGGTGATGGTGCTGCAGCAGATGATGTCACACCAAATGGTGATGGTGCTGCAGATGATGGTGTCACACCAAATGGTGATGGTGCTGTAGCAGATGTTGTAGACACACCAAAGGGTGCTGTAACAGATGTAGCAGACACACCAAAGGGTGCTGCAGCAGATGTTGTACCCATGCCAAAGGGTGCTGCAGCAGATGTTGTACCCATGCCAAAGGGTGCTGTAGCAGATGTAGTAGATGCACCAAAGGGTGCTGCAGCAGATGTTGTAGACACACCAAAGGGTGCTGCAGCAGATGTTGTAGACACACCAAAGGGTGTTGGTGCTGTAACAGATGATGATGTTACACTATAAACTGGTGGAGATGTAACAGGGGAAGCCGTTGACCCTATTTGACTGCCGAAACTATCAAATCCTGTTGATGGTATAGATGATGATGCTTGTGAAGTCCCAGTAGAGGCAAACAGTGTTGCTGGTGAGCTACTGTCCTGTGAGGTTTTAAATGAAAACTCATGAGAACGACTAGGCAACACACTTGTCGAGTCAGTAGATGCTTTGGACTTCTTGGGGTCTAAAAAGGTAAAAGGAGACTGAGTTGATGCACCATTACTCCCAATACCAAAGGAAATCATATCAGAAGAATAATTTGAGAGTATACTAGCTAAGCCTGCATCTGAAGTTCTTGTTAGAGCATCTCGCAGTCCTTGAGAGGCTGTTGATGACTGGACACTGGGAGAGGTGTTGCTGTAAAAGCCACTTGACATAACATATCTGGTTGATGAGCTGACAGACACACTTGATGTTGGTCCACTGCTAGACTGTGGCGAGCTAACACATTTGTTCAGATTACTTGATCTAAATGTAAAAGAGGTTGCTGCTGATGGGGAAGGTATATATTCAGGTGAAACTGATGAATTGTTGATAGTAGAATCTCTTGGAGGTGTTAGAGTGGCATTAAATGGAATTGAAGAAGTACTCACATTATGAAACATATTGGCAGAAAATGCTGGAGTGGAAGAAATAACATTTGTTGATATAGGTGAGGATTGTGCCAGTGTAGATTTCCCTGTGCTTCCTGTCATGAAGGAAGTGTTCACTGGTAAAATGCCAAGAGCATGGCTTGTCTCTGTACCAGAAGTACATATGGGATGTGCATATGTTTTAAGGAGAGGATTTTCATTTGAAGATGGGGTGGATAGTATCCCACTTTTGGCAGGTGAAGTGGTTTTCAAAAATTCTACAAGTGATCCTGATGAAAGTGGTGCAGCTGATGATTTATTTACAGTAGAAAGTGACACAACAGCTCCACCATTATTAACTTTGGCATCCGCAGGAAGCTTAAACACTTCAGTAACTGACACATCACTGCCTGCTGTAGCTTTATCCTTCTCTTTGTTACCGGAGTCACTGACAGTTGATGCTGTTGAAGTACTGGCTGAAGTACTGGGTGGCTTAAGGAATAATGTAAAGGAAGCAGTGACTTCACTCTTAGCTCCTTCTGAAGGAGTCTGAGTAATACTACCAGTTGATGAAGTAGCATTCTCTTCACTTATTTTAACTTTGGGTATTGAATTAGATGACAAGAGAGTTCCCAAACCACCAACTGCTGATGTAGAGAGTGATGTAGCAGTTGTTTCTATTGTGCCTGAGGTAGTTGCAGGGGTGAGTGATGGTGTTACACTTGTAGTAGTTGATGCAGGACTAACCAATGTAAAGGCTGACCCTGACACAGGAGTTGAATCACCAGACTTAGATTGTTGTAGTTCTTCCCCTTCTGTAAGTGAAATGAGTCAAATATTAGTTTCCTAACATGGAAAAGTCTCATATACAGTACTGTATGTTCTTATGTTTATGTGACTTCATTTGTCAACACATAAAGCATATAACAACACAGTGGGTCCGTGATCTCATTATATTATTTGAAATGAGTGCCAAGTAATTAGAGGGGAAATTTCTAACCCTCCCCCACCTGTGAGCTATATGTTACATTATGGTAGGCAAGGTGCTTCTAAATTTATTAGCATTAAATATTCCATAATTTTCTTATCTCCCATTTATCACACCATATTACCATATTAAAATTGAACATTTATTAATCTTACATTACTAAAGTAAATGTTTACATCAATATACAGTACTGTATATATACAGGGTGAGTCAAAAGTCTCCATACATAGGCAAAATGATCACTTTACTATACAATCACTTTTAAGTCACAAAATATGCTCTACGTGGGAACCATTACACTGAATGCACATACGGATGCGTTCCTCCCACTCATGGTGAACGCAAGTTAACAAGTCTGGTGTTATGCGCGCACACGTATCACGAAAGCATTCCTTTAGGTGATCCGTGTTTTTTATCTTCACCTGGTACATCAGGGCCTTCAAGTGGCCCCACAAGCAAAAATCCAGTGAGCCGGAAACTGCTGATCCAGCCACTGGTGCACATGGATACCGTAATGGGGTGGCGCCCCATCTTGTCGAAAGTACGCTGGAAATTCCCCGTCCTCGTTCAGCAGGGACGGCATGACTGTGTCTTGCAGCATGTTTAGGTACATTTTGAATTCAGATTGGCGTCAATAAAAACAGGGCCAACAACTGTGTTACCCCATACCCTCACCACACCATCACTTTTCCAGCGCCTCGCATCTTTGAGGGACTCATCCAGTGGGGGTTGGCATCACTCCAATAACGTGATCATTTTGCCTATGTATGGAGACTTATGACTCGCCCTGTATATATAGTAATGAGTATTCAAACCTTTAACATGAAAGAGCATTCCCAACATCTTCTTAAGCCTCTGTTGACTCTTTGCCTTCTCTGCTTTATAAGCTTCCAGAGATATCACATGTGTTGGTCTGGGAGGTGTGGGGTTCCTTGGTGTTGAGGTGCGGGAGGTGTTGGCTGTGCCTCCCCCGCCCCCGCAGCTCTCCCCGCGGATACTCTGAGGCGTGTGTGATCCCGAGCGGTCGGAAGGGTCTCGCTCCGACGGTCCCGGACTGATGATGCACGACTCGCCTCCGGTAGCCTCGCTCGTCTGTGTAAAAATTTGACTATATTAAAAATAATTTTTTATTTTACATTATTCTGCTGCAACCAAGGGAACTAAAATTAAGATATAATTTAAAAACCAAAAACCAGAAGCCACAAGCAAAAGCACTTAATCCACTAACCTGAGGTATTATTCCTACCTACAGTACAATAGTCCTATAGTCATTTTCATCATCTGTACAGTACCTGGGATCCACATAAGGTCAGCATTACTAACTACTGTAAACAAACTTGGCAGAGGACTTAAATAAAACTAAAATTATTGTCCATAAATAAACCTGACTGATGTATGGACACCATTATACACAGTAATGTATTTATGTATGGACACCATTATAAACAGTGATGTATACTGTATAAGGACACCATCACAAGTATCTCTACAATAAAAGCTATACCATAATAATTACTGCCTAGTGGTGCTTCATTATTCTTCCTCACTGCCATATACAATATAAGATTGATCTCAGCTTCAGAACTTTGGCCAGGTGACACCTCAACTCTTCTCCTGACCACACTCTGTCTTGGTACCCCTTCCCTCAGCAAGATGTAAGAATCACTAAATATTTTACCTTTACTCATTATACTGTACTATACTTTAAAGCAACCCTGATAAGGTTGTCACACTGCAAAGTATGTCCATCGACAAATCTGAGTAAGGCAAATGAATCCAACCCTTTACCTTTGTGGTCTATTTTTTAAGAGTATTTCTAATACTAACACAACTATAACCAGATGGCAGAGGAGTGGATGCTAAAGTATGACTCAATCGCTACTCATACCAGAAACGAATCCTGTCTCCGAGAGAGAGATAAACTTGCCTGAGGAGTCCTAACAATATATCTGTATCGTTCCCCTTACCTGCTGGTGTAAGGACTGCTCTGAGTGTTTAGACTGTCCTGACTCTACACTTGGATTGCTCTCAGAATCTGTATCTCGCCTGGAGTCATACATGGAGAACGGGGTATCTCGTCCATTTGCCTAAGGAATAAACAATTAATTTTCTAGAAAACTTAACTACTTAAGTCTTGTGCAGTTTTTCAATGCATAGTGTGGCAGGCAGAAGCTTCCAACTTGGTTTCCAACACTGCCACACCCGACACCTCGATCACAGCAATATTTTACGTATATCAAGAAAATATCTACACCTAAACACTGTATAGCTATGATGCATCGTAATACCAAGAGTAATACATGAGGGCCACAAGGAATACATGAGGGCCACAAGGAATACATGAGGGCCACAAGTAACACACGAGGTCACACAGGTAATACATGAGGGCCACAAGTAATACATGAGGACCACAAGTAACACATGAGGTCCACAAGTAACAAATGAGGTCCACAAGTAATACATGAGGGCCACAAGTAACACATGAGGTCCACAAGTTAGAAATACATGAGGTCCACAAGTAACACATGAGGGCACAAGTAAGAAATACATGAGGGCCACAAGTAACACATGAGGACACAAGTAAGAAATACACGAGGGCCACAAGTAACACATGAGGTCCACAAGTAACACATGAGGGCCACAAGTAACACATGAGGTTTACAAGTAACACATGAAGTCCACAAGTAACACATAGAGGTCCACAAGTAACACATAGAGAGCCACAACAATACATGACATCCACAAGTAACACATGAGATTACAAGTAACACATGAGGCCACAATACATAAGGTTCACAAGTAACACATGAGGTCCTAAGTAACACATGATGTCACAAGTAACACATAGGGTCCACAACAATACATGACATCCACAAGTAACACATGAGGTCCACAAGTAACACACGAGGTTCCCCAAGTAACCACGAGGTCCACAAGTAACACATGAGCCTAAGTAACCACGAGGTCCACAAGTAACACATAGGGGCCACAAATAATACATGAGGACCACAAGTAACACATGAGGGCCACAAGTAATACAAGTAACACATGAGGACCACACATAGAGGGCCACAGAAGGCCACATAATACAGTAATACATGGGGCCACAAGTAACACATAAGAAGGCCACAAGTGGGTAATACATGGGGGCCTAAGTAACATGAAGGCCACAAGTAATACATGGGGGCCACAAGTAACATATGAGGGCCACCACAACAAGTAATACATGAGGGGCACAAAGTAGGGGGCCACAAGTAACATGAAGGCCACAAAGTAACACATGAGGGCCACAAGTAATGCATAGGGCCTATAATGCAGGGGCCACAAATGCCAGGGCCACAAGTAATACATGAGGGGAGGGCCACAAGTAATTAGGACGAGGAGGGCCACAAGTAACACATAGGGGGGCCACAACAATATATGAGGGCCACAAGTAATACATGAGACACAAGTAACACATCAGGGCCAAAACAATACATGAGGGCCACAAGATATGAGGGCCTAAGTAACACATGAGGGGGCCACAAGTAACACATAAGGGCCACAAGTAATGCACCAGTGCCAGGCCTAAGTAACCACCACACAATAACACATGTACAACAATATGATGTAACATACCCCACAAGTAGGGGCACATGAGGGGCCTAACACCACAACAATACAAGGGGAAAGTAACACATGAGGCCACAGTAACACATGGGGCCACAAGTAACACATGAGGGGCCACAACAATACATGAGGGCCACAAGTAATACATGAGGGGCCACAAAAACACATAGGGGCCTAGAAGTAATACATGAGGGCCACAAGTAACACATGACAACAATGAGGGGTAACACATAAGGGGCCAAGTAACACATGTAATACATGAAGGCCACAAGAGCCTAGCATGAGGGGCCACAAGTAACACATAGAGGTAATACAGGGGCCACAATACATGGGACCACAAGTAACACATGAGGGTCACAACAATACATGAGGGGCCACAAGTAACACATGAGGGGCCACAAGTAATGCATGAGGGCCTGAAGTAACACATGAGGGCCTACACAGTAACACATGAGGGCCTACAAATGGGGGCCACAAGTAACACCGGGTCACAACAATACATAAGGGCCACAAGTAACACATAGAGGCCATGAGGGCCACAAGTAACACATGAGGGCCACAATAATACATAGGGGGCCACAAGTAATACATGAGGGACCACAACAATACATGAGGGGGCCACAAGTAACACATGAAGAAGTAACACATGAGGGCCACAAGTAACACATACCCCATGGGGGCCACAACAATACATGAGGGGCCTGAGTAACACATGAGGTCCAGAAGTAATATGAGGGGCCACAGGTAACACATGAGGTCCACAAGTAACACATGAGGGGCCACAAGTAACACATGAGGGCCACAATAATACATAGGGACCTAGAAGTAATACATGAGGGACCACAACAATACATGAGGGCCACAAGTAACACATGAGGTCAAGTAACACATGAGGGGGCCACAAGTAACACATGAGGGCCACAAGTAACACATGAGGGGCCACAAGTAATACATGAGGGCCACAACAATACATGAGGGCCACAAGAGTAACACATGAGGTCCAGAGTAATACATGAGGACCACAAGTAACACATGAGGGCCACAACAATACATGAGGGCCTGAAGTACATGAGGGGCCACAACAATACATGAGGGCCTAGTAATACATGAGGGCCACAACAATACATGAGGGCCACAAGTAACACATGAGAAGGGGCATGAGGGCCACAAGTAATACATAGGGGCCAAAGTAACACATGAGGGGCCACAACAATGAGGGCCACAAGTAACACATGAGGGGCCACAACAATACATGAGGGCCACAAGTAACACATAGGAGCCATGAAGTAACACATGAGGGGCCACAACAATACATGAGGGCCACAAGTAACACATGTACACAACAATGAGGGCCACAATACATGAGGCCACAGTAACATAGGGCCACAAGTAACACATGAGGGCCACAAGTAACCTAGAACAATGATTACAATTTAACACATGTAAAACTGTGTAGTGTACTGAAGTAAATACATGAGGGCCACAACAATACATGAGGGCCACAACAATACATGAGGGCCACAAGTAATACATGAGGGCCACAAGTAATACATGAGGGCCACAAATAATACACGAGGGCCACAAGTAACACGAGGGCCACAAGTAACACACGACCATCACAACAATACATGAGGGCCACAAGTAATACATGAGGGCCACAAGTAACACATGAGAGCCACAAGTAACACATGAGAGCCACAATTTTAAGAGGCTATAAACTCTGTGAATAATGTGACAATATTAACGGAAAAATATTAGTTTAATTTACCTGAATAATTCCAAGGTGGACGATATGTTTGGAGGAGGAAAATGAGGCAACCATTGGGTCCAGGACACACCGCTTCTTGTTGTCGGGACTTAGTTGTTGTGAGCTTCCCTGAGCAGACGGACTCAAGTCTAGTGCACGTTTCTCCCCACCGCCACCGTTACTACCACAACTGTGACCATCTTCCAGATAATCTCTGCAATCGTAATTATACCCAACATTAAGTACTGTGCAAAAGTGTTACCTACAAGCAACAAAAGTGTGTCATAATACAATTAGTTCCACAAGTAATTAAAGGCAATTTCATATACTGTACAGTACAGTATACTGTACCATATAGAGATAAGTAATTAATTTTTAATTGACACTGTTCTTGTCATAAGTGATGTGCCGTACACACATTTGTGAAAAGTGAAGATGTTGCTGAGTGACTTCCTCTTCACCAAACATCACATTTTAATAGTTTAGGGAGAAAACCCAAAGAAGATCTGAAGGCTTCATTGTTATACAGCAATTGTCCACACTTATGTGGGTTAGCCGTGATTACTTGATGGCACAAGACAAATTTGAAGCAAGTTTTATGGCTGGATGCCCTTCTTATCACCAACCCACTTTTACAGAGTGGGAACAGGGCATTACTGTAAACTGTATGTAGGACTACTCATTTCCCTCTCAACTGGTAAGGCTAAATAAAAACAATGGTGGCAATACCTGGCATAAAAGTGGCTTTGAAACTATGGTAAGGGTTTTATAAACTAATTTCCATTTTGAGGAGAAAATAACACAAAAATTTAACTCCTTATTATGGGGATGCCACTTTTAATAAATTATTTGGCTAATGCCAGACAATTTTATTCAGCAGTGAGCAGACCCTGCACAAAAGTGGCTAAAAATCCAGTGTTAAACTTCTTAAGGTAAGTCATAGCTGAGTCAGGATGTCTCAGCCAGGGGACTACAGAGGTTTTTCTTGGGGCCCACAGATTGACAGCCAGAATGGTAATTTAACCCAAGTTACATTTTCTGCAGATGCATAATTTGATGACATGCAGATAGTGTTAAGGATACTGTAGTTTTATATAAATGTCTCCTTTACAAATATAAAGGAATATTGTATCATGCAACCTTTGTACATTAGTTAAGACCCTTATACCTGCAACACTTACCTGGAGTAGTTGATGGGTATTGAAGTGGACACAATACTGCCTCCTGTAGCGGTACACTTTTGTCTCTTACTTAAGTCTTCTGGTTCCTGCAATAAAAATCTTCATAATCCTTGGGGTTTTTTTTACACCCCCCACCACCACCAAAAAATAAATAAATATTTTTAATGAAAACTGAGATGGGGAGAGGTTGAGAGACATACCATCAGAGATAAGAACCTGACAAGAGAGGCTACAGCTTGGAGAGCCACCATGGATAACCCAGACATGTACTGCACATATTCTGTACTGTACATACATGGATAATAGTGAAGGATGATTGTGTGTGTGTATATATATATATATATATATATATATATATATATATATATATATATATATATATATATATATATATATATATATATATATATATATATATATATATATATATACATACATACATACATACATATACAGTGACCCCTGGTTTAACTTGAGCATACCGATTGAAATTTAGTTACGAACTGCCTTCCATAAGGATCTTCAATTCGGTTAACGAAAAAAATTCGTTAACGAATTTCTTACGAACCGACCTCAACATGTTTTCGCTTGCACTGACCGGGCAACCAGCTTTAGTATCAGTCCGCCAATACATTAATCGGTTCTAGGGCTTAAATTCCTTACTATTTTAGTAAATATCAAGAAGTTTATACTATTCAATAATTTTAAAGTTTAATATTCAATTTTTAGTCATTTTAACAATTATTGAACATAATTGAAGGTAAAGTGACTAGTTTAATGCGCGGCATCCAGCCTCTTAACACAGCAAACAGGAGTTACTGTCTCTCTCTGTTTTCACTGGAGGTAACATCTTGCTTGAGACTCTCTTCAACTAAACGCTTTTTTTCTGTGTTTCCAAGCAAATTATTGGTCATTTTGAAATATATTTTACATATTGACAATATATAATGCAAGCGCAGTGTTGATTTAAAGAAAATAATCTTGAAATACACCAAGAGAACTAAAATTTTATGGGTGAAATGGTGCCATGGGGTGACTTCTCTTCCACCCCAATGCCTTCTCTTCTTCCTTCTCCTCCACCCCCATTCTAATTCCATCATCATCATCATCATCATCCAGGAGCCTTCTACATACACACCTCAAAGTAAGTGAACTTTTCTACATTTTTGTTGAATTTAGGCAATTTTCGGTGAGCTGGAACCAATTACCCAAAAACCCATTGAAACAATGGTTTCGGTTAACGAACAACCTGCTGGAGCAGTTGTGTTAGATTAACCGAGGACCTAATATGTATGTATGTATGTATGTATGTATATATATATATATATATATATATATATATATATATATATATATATATATATATATATATATATATATATATATATATATATATATATATATACAGTCTACGCGGAAGGTTAAGGCACAAATTGGGCTGTGACTTTACTTTTAGCACAAATCGTTTTACCCTCAAGATAGGGATAAATTTTCATCAGAAATGTTTAGTCACAATTCTAACGGCATCTGGAACCCTTAGGCGACAGCTGTCACATAGCAGCAACCGCTCAGTCTTTGTTTAAGTTGCGTGGGTGGAGGTTATTGTACCCATGTGAGCGCCACGTGCCGTGATTTTACGCCTGAGTTACAGTGCTTTATCGTGTGATTTCTGGGTCTTTAAGATGTCCAGGAGAGTTACTAAGCGTGAGGATATTGCACAGGTGATTGGTTTATACAAGGCTAATCATAAAGTTACTGAAATAGTTGAATTAACCGGTGTGTGCCGCCGGTCAGTGTACCGATTCATCTCGGAATTTGAGGCAAACAGCCAGGAAGAGTTGCCTACCCCTAAACCCAAGTCTGGGCGACCACGGCTTACGTCTCCTAGAACCAGGAAGGTGATTGCTAGGCAAGTTAATGCTAATCCTAAGCTCACGGCCCGGGAATTAAAGCAAGCTAACCCCGGACTCCTTGGTCACGTCTCCTTAAGGTCGGTGCAGCAGCTTCTTCATGACGATCTCGGTTATCGCGCCTACCGCCCACGCCGTAAGCCCCTGCTGACTGCTGCCCAGAAGAAGAAGAGGATCACTTTTGCGAAGAAGTACAGTGTTTGGTCCCTTCAGGATTGGAGGAACGTCCTTTGGAGTGATGAAGCCACGTTTACAGTGAGTGGTTGTGGTCACGATAGGGTGTACCGCCGGCCAGACTCTGACCCGCTCGACCCCAGGTACACCGTCAAGACGGTCAAGCATCCTGATTCAGTGATGGTATGGGGTTGTTTCACTTATTACGGTGTTGGTGAGTTGGTTGTGCTTGAAAAAACATTAAAGTTAACCAGGGTGTGTACCTCGAGCTTCTCTGTGACGTTCTGCCTGACTCGTTTGAGAAAACACGCGCCGTCGTGTTCATGCAGGACGGTGCTCCCTGCCACACAGCCAAGTCGGTTACTCAGTGGTTGGAGGATTGCCAGGTTTCATATTTTAAGGACTGGCCTGGCAATTCCCCCGACATCAACCCTATTGAGAACCTTTGGGGGCTCATGAAACGTCGCCTACGTGACCTCGACACCTCGTCCGTCCCCAAGCTCACCACAGCAATTAAGCAACTGTGGGCCAATTTCACCCCACAGCACCTGCAAAACCTTGCAGACAGTGTTCCACAACGACTGAAAGAGGTGCTGAAGAGGAAGGGAAACACAACAAAATACTAAGAGGGGCGGGTGAGTGTTATTTTCATTTTTTTATTGCCTTACCATGATTTTCTTATTTTTTCCCCACGGTGTGCCTTAACCTTCCGCGTAGACTGTATATATATATATATATATATATATATATATATATATATATACACAGACAGACCCCGACTTACGACTGCTACAACTTACGACCGTCGGGACTTACGACCGCCGCAGATTTTTTATAATTTTTTTTTTTCAAATAACACGGATTTTCTATACCGAAACGTTTCCAGTTAATGTAGTCTCCATGTATAATTAGAAAATTATGGGGGCCCCATGTGAATTCAGCTGACTACATTAAAGGTAAGTGCTGTCACACTGTAACCATTCCTTATTATTTATTACTTTCACTGTACTGTATCCATTCCTCATTATTCATTACTTTTACTGTACTGTATTTCATTGTAGATTATTTATTTAAAAAAAAAAAAAAAAAATTTTTTTATCTATGTCGGACTTACGACCTGGATTTGGGTCCCTAACCCCGTCGTAAGTCGGGGTCTATCTGTATATATATATATACATACATACATACATACATACATACATACATACATACAGTGGTCCCTGGGTTAGCAGACTCAATCCGTTCCAGAAGGTGGATTCGTTAACGGAAACCATTTCAATGAGTTTTTAGATTAGTGGTTCCAGCTCACCGAAAATTACTAAATTCAACAATAATTAGAAAGATTCCTTACTTTGAGGGTGTGTGTATGTAGAAGGCTCCTGGATGATGATGATGATGATGATGGGAATTAGAATGGGGGTGGAGGAGAAGGAAGAAGAGAAGTCACCCCATGGCACCATTTCACCCATAAAATTTTTAGTTCTCTTGGTGTATTTCAAGATTATTTTCTTTAAATCAACACTGCACTGCATTATATATTGTCAATATGTAAAATATATTTCAAAATGACCAATAATTTGCTTGGAAACACAGAAAAAAAGCGTTTAGTTGAAGAGTCTCAAGCAAGATGTTACCTCCAGTGAAAACAGAGAGACTAACGCCTGTTTGCTGTGTTAAGAGGCTGGATGCCGCGCATTAAACTAGTCACTTTACCTTCAATTATGTTCAATAATTGTTAAAATGACAAAAAAAATGAATATTAAACTTTTAAAATTATTGAATAGTACAAACTTCTTGATATTTACTAAAATAGTAAGGAATTTAAGCCCTAGAACCGATTAATGTATTGGCGACTAATACTAAAGCTGGTTGACTAGCCAGTGCAAGCGGAAACATGTTGAGGTCGGTTCGTAAGAAATTCGTTAACCGAATTTTTGTTCGTTAACCGAATTTAAGAATCTTATGGGAGGCAGTTCGTTAACCGAAATTTCGTTAACCGAGGGACCACTGTATATATATGTATGTATGTGTGTGTGTGTGTATATATATATATATATATATATATATATATATATATATATATATATATATATATATATATATATATATATATATATATATGTATATATATATATATGTATATATATATATATATGTATATATATATATATATATATATATATATATATATATATATATATATATATATATATATATATATATATATATATATATATATATATATATATATATATATACACAGTAATATCCCGATTTACGCGTTTCCACATTTACACGGTACCCCACCAGAACCGGAATTCCCACTTTACGCGGTGCATCTACTCATATACGCGGAGAGCGGCTGGCGGTCCTGCCGTGCCGCCATTTTTGGATTCAAACCTCCCGCCATCTCGGGCACATGGCGCTAGTAAGTTGCGCAGTGGATGCCTCTGTTGCGTTATCGCCGACGTCATATGACGTATCGGACTGCGATTGGGCCTCGCATCCTTACCTCCCTCCGCCGCTAGCTGTGATTAGTTTAATGTAATATGACGTGCCCTGCCGCAGGAGGGATGAAGCCGCTGACCTAGCCGAGTCAGTTACATCCCTCCCGGCCACACCGTGTATACCGGTATCTATTGTTCCGTAAGAATGGCTGCTGCCGGACCACCACCACCACAGAAAAACCTTGCATTACCTGGACCTAGCCGCCCTAAGCCAAAGAAGATACGACGTGCCCTAAGCTACGATGTGAAGTACAAGATTATTCAAGATTTGGAGAAAGGAACAAAACAAGTTGATTTGGCGCGCCACCATGGCGTGAAAGAATCTACGATCCGGACGATAAAGAAGGATGCAGCCAAGATAAAAGATCACATGAACATCACAAAGTCTGCAGGTGCTTCAATGATCAAGTATTGCCAGAACAAGGTGCTTCTCAAGACAGAAAATTTACTTGTGTGTTACCTGATTCGTCAGGCAAGACGGAACATGGCGGTCGACACGAGGTCAGTTCAGGAGTACGCACGTGAACTGTACGCAGCAGTCACGTAAGATGGGAATTGCAGAGCCCAAACCCTTCAATGCTTCCTCTGGGTGGCTGCACAGGTTTAAGAAGAGGAACAAGATCACCAACATTAACATTGGTGGTGAAGAAGCTAGTGCTGACCGTTTTGCGGCTAGGGATTTTCCTCTGTTCTTACGTGAGATTATGGAGGAAGGGCAGTACACCGACGACCAGGTGTTCAACATGGACAAATCCGGTCTGTTTTGGAAAAAGCTGCCTACCAAAACTTTCGTTGTCCAGTCTGCCAGCAAGTGTTGGAGCCGGAAGTTGCAGAAGGAGGGCATGACCGTCCTCTTTACCACCAATGCCTCCGGTTCCTGTAAACTCAAGTTATCGGTGATTCACACAGCCCACAAGCCACACGCCTACAAGAACATGGACATGGCCAAGCTAAATGTCCACTGGCTGACCGCACGTAAGGCGTGGATGTTCTCTGCTCTATCCCTCTCCTGGTTTGATGACTGTTTCGTTCCCGACGTGAAGAAATTCTGTGAGCAACAGAATGTTCCATTCAAGATTTTGTTGCTGCTTGACAACGCACCAGGACACTCGCCCCTACTGTTGGATCATCACCCCAACGTATAAGTGGTCTTCCTTCCTCCCAACACTACGTCATTAATCCAGCCCATGGACCAAGAATTAATCTGCAATGTGAAAGCTGCATACTCTGCAAAGAAGTTTAAGCTTCTGAACGACTGTACCAGCACCAAGAATGAGTTGCGTAACCTGGGTGACACCGATAGCAAGAGCAATGAGGACGAGGTACAACAGTTGGCAGAGCAAGAAGTTCTCGTCAAACACTTTTAGAGGAAATTTAACGTCAAGAAAGCTGTGGACTTCTTGGTGGAGGCATTGGATCAGCTGTCTGTAGCAACGGTTCGTCACGCATGGAGACATGTGTTGCAAGGTATCCTAGGTGGGAGGCAGAGTAAACCTGTGACTGGTGAGGTTCAGGCTGTTGCAGTAGCAGTGGACCTTGCCAGAGAAGCTGTGCAGTGTTTTACAGCTGCAGGCTTCTCCGAGACCACCAACGAAGACATTCTGGAGGTGATCAGGGATCCTGAGGAGACTGCCGACGAGATGTTAGAAGACGATCACGTCAGTGAAGAGGCAGGTGGTGCATCATCCCGAGAAGAACACAAGTTAACGCATGGTAATGTTAGGTGTGCCATCGAGTGTGAAGAGAAACTGAAGCTCCTCCTTTCCGACAACCCTAACGATAACCGGTATGAAGTCTTCCCTACCCAGCTGGTGCAGGCTATGGAGCCGTACATCAAGGTGTATCACGACAACATCAACACTAGCCGTCAACAAAGCATTACCGACTTCTTCGCCCGCAACCCACCACAGCCAGCCCAAGCCAGTGATATTGACAGAGACAGTGATGGTGACTTTGAGGGATTTGTCAGAGAGACCCTGACAAATGTGGAGGACAGTGATGGTGACTCGCCTCAGGGCCAGTAGTCTGCCCTCTGCCTTAGAACCAGCCTCCATTCCCGTACACCGACCCATCTCTTCTACTAACATAAGTGTTAAACCTAACCTTGATTTTTCCTAATATAACCTAACCTTACGTAATTGTTAAACCTTGATTTTTCTTTTACCTGGTCCAGTATATTATTCTCTTATTGATATTTCTCTTCTATATTATGTGTGTGTGTATACCATCATAAAGTTAAGATGTTATTTTTACTACAACTTATGTATTGTGTCGGGAAAAAGTGGAGTTTGGGGGTCGGCCCAGTCTCTATTTCAATTAATCCAATATGTTCTGTTGTTCCATTTACGCATTTCCAGTTTTACGCGGGACTCCGCGGGTTCAATTGACCGCGTAAATCGGGGTATTACTATATATATATAATCATCCATCACTATTATTCATGTGTGTACAGTACAGAACATGGTGCAGGGAGGGTGGCTCATGCCACGAGCAACCAGAGACTCTTCATACACCTCAGTAATTTTTATCTATACATTTAAGGTAGCCTGAAACAGGGGGTACAGTACATTGCTTATTGTTGGTGTTCTTTTTTCCAACATTAATTTTCTTACTTTAACAAAGCCTTCCCTCCTCCAGTACTGTATAGGGTGACCACACTCAATAGTAAACACACATTTATTAATTCATAGTTTTGTGATGCATAAGGTATGTTCAGAGGACCCTGGTTTAGCCCTGTAGCTTCACCAAACCTTACATCACCCAATAAAAGGTTTCTACATTAACAAAGAGAATCATTTACTGATCTGTCACATATTCTCAAACTCCTAAAATGAATACTGTCCATATTGAGTTCTTACCATATAACATGATCCTCTCTTTATTCCCTTGCCAACTTGAGCTTGCTGTAAGGCAGCTACCACTGCTTGAACACTGGTTGGGTCACGAACACATTCATTAGATGAACTCGTTGGTTCTAGGACTGATGCTACTGATCGAATATCTGGCATTCTGTGGAGAAAGAGAAATTTTAGTTTTGTTTGATATGCTTCCACGAGTGCAGCCAAAGTGTCACAAACTGTAGTCCGATGATTCAAAGGTGAACATAAAGAACACCCAAATTCATTGCTCTACAGATACACTTTATCATAACAGTACAATGGTCCCTCGGTTAACGAACACAATTCGTTCCAGTCGTTTAACTCTTTAGGTGCGTAATTAAATTTCGCGCCGGTTCCTGAAAAGTGTCAATTATCCTGCCAAAAATGAATTTCATATAATCACATTTTCTATATGTTTTTCCTAGAGAACTTTTAGTATATTTTCCAAATCTGGAACAAAAATTCACATATGTGTGCAAATTTTAGAGAAAAAATGACATTTATACCCAAAAATGCAGGAAATTGGTATAAATCAATGTCTGGTATATGGCAAATAAATTTAATCAATTTGGTTACTAAACAGCAAATTTAGATATGTATTACATATTCAGATAATATCAAACAAAATAGTACAAAAATAAGCTATATTGCATTCAGGAAATACTCCTATACCTCAATACATAATATGTCCGCATGTCGTCTCATTTGGGGAAGTTTTTTCAAGGCCGTGGGATATCCCCGCTTGTCGCATTTAATTAATATAATATTTTGGGCGGGTTTACCCGCATGTCGCATCCAAAGGGTTAACCGAAAATTTTGTTAACCGAATCTATTTTTTCAATGGGAAATTGGGTAATTGGTTCCAACTCACAGAAAAGTACATACAAAGTATAAACAAAATGCAGTACAGTACACTTACTTTGAGGTGTGTATGTAGAATGTTGCTGGTTGATGATGATGATGGGAATTAGAAGTGGGGGGTGGAGGAGAAGGGACAAGAGAAGCATTTTAATGCTTCTTGGAAGGCGAGTCACCTTTCATAATAATGTCAGGAACCTCTAGAATGACAGTCTCTACATGAAAATCCTTTCTCCTTTTTGGAGAGGAACACTGAGGGGAATCATCTTTCTCACCCATGCTTGATGCAGTAACTTCACCAATAAAATTTTAAGTTCACTAGCTGTAATTAAAGATTATTTTATTTAAATCAACACTGCACTGCACTATATATTATCAATATGTTAACTAAATTTCAGAATGACCAATAATTTTAATGTAAAAACGTAAAAATACTCTGCATTCAAGAGACCAAGTAACACTCTTTAGCAGGTGAATCAAGCGGCTGATGGGCGCACAAAAAAATAGTTCCCTGTACTGCATATACAGGTATTATCAATATGGTAACTAAATTTTAAAATGACTAATAATTTTAATATAAAAAATGCAAAAATGTTAAAGAGTACAACCTTCTTGATATTTACTCCACTGGAAACGAATGTAAACATAGAACCGATTACTGTATTGGCGGATTAGCCGATCAGCTGATGCGCACAACAAAACGTGTTTGTCAAAAGGATTTCGTTAATCGAACTGAAAATCCTTATGGGAGCTAATTCGTTAACCGAAATTTCGTTAATCGAACCGTTCGTTAACCGAGGGACCACTGAATTCTATTTACAGTAAAGTACAGTAAAATCAATATGTCTACTTGAAGGCTTTTGTTTCAAGAGATGGAGCAGAAGTTTTACAAGTCATCATTGTGCACAGTACAGTACAAGATACAGTATATAGTACAGTACAGTACAAGATACAGTATATAGTACAGTACAAGATACACTACAGAAACACGACGACCCAATATAATACATAAAGTAAACAATGGAGCTGCACTACACTTACCTTGGTGTTGTAGAAGTAAGGAAATCAGACGAGAGAGATGAAGAGAACGTTGACGACGGTGAACGACCCAATGGGAGAAGTGGGGAGGTGGGAGTTCTCCGAGGCATTAACACTGCCTTTGTGCGGCCATTAAGACACACATTAGGAAGGACTCCAGCTCTGACGTATCTTTCCTGGGCTGTGGGAATGAACAGTAAAGTCAATGTCATCTCGTTATATTCTAATATTTGTGATATATCTGCAGTACCAAGACTTGTCTAGTCTAATGTCATTTTCTTCTTTATTGCTGAACCAGAGAAAAGAAAGAAAAATATGATAAAATCAGTCTGTTATATTTGTTATTGCTACTGTGTAGTGTGGTGGTTGAGTGGATACAGTGGTCACCTCTTGTCCTAGAGGTCAGAGGTTTGATCCCAGGGCGCTCTCAGTCTACCCAAGAGGGTTCAGGGGGTTCGGTCAAACCTCCTTTTCACATAAGACTCGCCTTATGTAACATTAAACTAAATCAAGTCAGATCAAGTGTCAATTCATGACAAGACCAACCTGTACACATTCCTGGCTAGTGGTGTACTGTATTATTTTAACTGATAGTTTGTCATCAGTGTACCAGAATTAGCCTAATGATGTTTGCAAGTGCAGATAATTTACTTCTAAATAAAGCAGCCAACCTGCCAAGCTGAGAGGCTGTAGACATGAAGTGAAGGGAGTTATGACCTCACATGACAAGGCTTACCGCCACTGATACCAAATTATCAGTTAATGGGTGAGGAAGGGGGATGGCGTGGTTATGGTAGGCGATTACAGGTGCTTGTTCAGTTGCAGATTCACCGCACACTAAAGGAATTAGACACCAGCAAAATCATCAACAGTTTACCATCAAACAACACAAGACGGACGTTGATGGCAACTATGTTTCATTAAATTAAACTAATGTTCTAGCATTTGAGAAAAAGAAAGATACAGTGCAGTACTTACTATGTTAACCCTTAAACTCAGGGTAACATTCCTGAACGTTCGCCCCGGGTGATGTTCCTGAACGTTCTTAATATTTGTGGCATGTTTTGAATGTCCAGGCGGGAGGGAATACTTTGTATGGGATATTTGTGTACTTGGCAACTCAACTCACGTGTATTTGTCTCAAGTCTTGTGCCTCGTGGTCAGTTACCTGCCAGACATTATGACAGATGCACGTCTTTAGTCTTCTCTTATGACTCGCCTCACTCCTCCACACCCAAGTGAAGGCATTTGCTTAACAGTACTGTTGAGCTGTTCATGAAGAGTTGCTGTTTGATCTCAGTGGCATTGACATAGTACAGTACTGGGTGATGAAGACAATGATGGGGGAGAAACAGAACCCAGATAATGTTAAGTTTGTTGAGGGGTGAGGAGTGTTAGGCCTACAGACTGGTGCTCCCTCCCTGCCAGCCACCGTGAACCACAGCACAAAGATATGGTGACTTGGTGCAAGGAATGTGAGTTGCCTTGTGCATTTCACGTTACAAAGACTTCCACACGATCAAGAAGTTCTAAATTCAGTAAAAGCACATGTAAATAGTGTGCAATATATATTTCAAAATAGTGATGAGTTTTGTGCTGCTAAATATTCCTACTGCTCAGTATTCTATATACTTCTTTTGAGGAAATAGAAATATTTTGTTTTGCAATAGCAATAAGAAAGAAGCATAATATAAAAGTGCCTTCAAGAAAGAACTGTGTGTCACATTCACTTCCCGCTCACTGTGTGCAGCAGTTTCAAACAAGACATCTTTCATCACTACACACTGCCTATCAATACTCCAGACAACTCTCCAACCATACTACAATGAAAGTTGAATGTAACTACATTCTTCTGGATTTTTCTTATATTGATTCACCCATTTATAAGGTGACAATGGACTAAAAATAAAATAAAATAAAAATTAACGAAATCTGCAGGCATGGGGGGTTGGTTCGGCGGGCCTTAAGACACCTGGGGTCAAAGGGTTAATAATTGAATGCCATAAGTAATAAAAATGCGTCAGTGTGTGTTTTACTTACATGTTCATCAAGTGAAAATGTTTTTAGTTAAACAGTAAAACCTGGTTATTTCAAACTACCTACAGGGGTAAAAGAAGGACCACAAGTACAAAACAGTATCAGATACTGGATGTATTTGGAAATGGGAGATTTTATTACTGACCACTGTATAAATTTGAAATACATTCTTAATAACAAAATATTTTACAATAATCCACCATTAATGCTTAAGGTATGTTCTTAAAATCCATGATTATTGGAAAAAATCTGAAAATTTTGTGTACAGTACAGCATCTACCAAAAAATTTGAGTTAAAAAAAATACTTTATACCCCATGAGAATTGTCTTCTTCACTTTTTGTGTGTAAGATTGAGTGTGTACTGTGAGTAGCTGCGTAAAAAAATTAAATACAGCACTGTATATCTAACCCAAAATTACAAATTGAAAATTAAACACAACATAACGTATAGCTCACAGGTGAGGTATGGTTGGAAAAATTCACACTTGGCCTAGAAATTACTTTTGGTACTTTTAAATAATTTGTTCCAAAACATAACTTGGGTTTTTAGTGTTCCAGATACAGGAATGCCAGATAAATGGTCTGATACCTGTATTTAACCACCAAAATATGAGATCAATGAAAGGTTAAAAAACTTATTGCAGGTCAAAGAAAAGGAAAGAAAAATGTTTAAATTTCACATAAATTTTTTTTTACGTGAGTGGTGTAGGCTACCCATCAAGAAGTTTGTCCAAGTAAAGTTTCACGACAACGGTAACAACATTGGATAAACCTTTAAAGGTTAGCTACTACTGTACCATGCTCATAGACAGTCATAACTAACCAGCAGGGTATTGCCGTCGAGCCTCTACAGGGCTCCTGGAGCAGTGCCTGGGCCTCTCTCACTACTCGGTTGGCAAAGCCCGGGCTCACCACTTCTGCTGCAAAGCTGAAATAAAATAATATGCACAGTAAATTATATAAAAATCATACCTTACAACCTCTTATAATGGCTACATACTATACAACAATACTGTACTGTAAATTTTTTTTTTTTAATTAGGATCTTCATTAATATGTTGGGTCATTCCATTTGCAGCTCAATACATTCAGAGACAAGTTAGTCATGTTATACTGTATTACAATACTAAGCAAAACATATTAAGTATAATCAAATTATAGTACTATACAGTACTTTTCTAACACTAATTACTGTACTTGCCACCTATGGGATTTCAAGAACACTTTTTGGTGTTTATGCACCATTCTGATGTACAGTACTAAAGTGGTTACATACATTAAATTTAAATTCTGAGAGGAAAAAGCGTTTTGGGTCTAAAATCCTCTTAGGCTTACTGTTTTCGCCATAATCTTGATCTAACCAATTTTGTTCAAAATCTCATTATGTATATGTACAGTACATAACAAAATTTTAATACTTTTCTAACACTCGTGATCACGCTGGAGATAAAGGATCAACTTGTTGGTGTTTTATCATCTCTCTGCACTTGTTTGATATTTGTATACTTGTTATGTACTATAATTACTTAAGGTTTTATCATCCTTAATGACAACATGTTTTATCATTCTTAACCTCTGAAGACAACTTGTTATGTTTTATCATCTTTTAATATGTTTTTTTCTTAACACAACTTATTGCGACTTAACCTCACAAATGTTTTATCATCTCTTTTGAAGACAAAAACTTAAGGCGTGAAGAGTTTTTCATCCCTCTGAAGACAACTTATTATGTTTACCATTCTTTGAAGACAACTTGTTATGTTTATCATCTCTAACCTCTAATCACACTCTGAAGACAACTTTGTTTATGTTTATCATCTTCTAACCTTATGTTGGTGTTTTTCATCTCTAACCTCTGAAGACAACTTATTATGTTTTATCATCTCTTAACCTCTGAAGACAACTCTGAAGACAACTTATTATGTTTTATCATCTCTAACTTTATTATGTTTTATCATCTCTAACCTCTGAAGACAACTTATGTTTCATCATTCTAATCATCTCTTAACCTCTGAAGACAACTTGTTATGTTTTATCATCTCTTAACCTCTGAAGACAACTTATTATGTTTTATCATCTCTAACTCTACTTGTTAATCATCTCTTAACCTCTGAAGACAACTTGTTATGTTTTTTCATCTCTTAACCTCTGAAGACAACTTGTTATGTTTTTATCATCTCTTAACCTCTGAAGACAACTTATTATGTTTTATCATCTCTTAACCTCTATGTATGTTTTTATCATCTCTTAACCTCTGAAGACAACTTGTTATGTTTTTATCATCTCTTAACCTCTGAAGACAACTTGTTATGTTTATCATCTCTTAATCTCTTGTTATGTTTATCATCTCTCTCTGAAGACAACTTGTTATGTTTTATCATCTCTTAACCTCTGAAGACAACTTGTTATGTTTTATCATCTCAACCTTGAAGACAACTTGTTATGTTCCCATCATCTCTTAACCTTATGTTATGTTCCCATCATCTCTAACCTCTGAAGACAACTTATTATGTTTTATCATCTCTTAACCTCTGAAGACAACTTGTTATGTTTTATCATCTCTTAACCTCTGAAGACAACTTGTTATGTTTTATCATCTCTTAACCTCTGAAGACAACTTGTTATGTTTTATCATCTCTTAACCTCTGAAGACAACTTGTTATGTTTTATCATCTCTTAACCTCTGAAGACAACTTATTATGTTTTATCATCTCTTAACCTCTGAAGACTACTTGTTATGTTTTATCATCTCTTAACCTCTGAAGACAACTTGTTATGTTTTATCATTTCTTAACCTCTGAAGACAACTTGTTATGTTTTATCATCTCTTAACCTCTGAAGACAACTTGTTGTGTTTTATCATCTCTTAACCTCTGAAGACAACTTGTTATGTTTTATCATCTCTTAACCTCTGAAGACAACTTATTATGTTCTATCATCTCTTAACCTCTGAAGACAACTTGTTATGTTTTATCATCTCTTAACCTCTGAAGACAACTTGTTATGTTTTATCATCTCTTAACCTCTGAAGACAACTTGTTATGTTTTATCATCTCTTAACCTCTGAAGACAACTTGTTGTGTTTTATCATCTCTTAACCTCTGAAGACAACTTGTTGTGTTTTATCATCTCTTAACCTCTGAAGACAACTTGTTATGTTTTATCATCTCTTAACCTCTGAAGACAACTTGTTATGTTTTATCATCTCTTAACCTCTGAAGACAACTTGTTATGTTTTATCATCTCTTAACCTCTGAAGACAACTTGTTATGTTTTATCATCTCTTAACCTCTGAAGACAACTTGTTATGTTTTATCATCTCTTAACCTCTGAAGACAACTTGTTATGTTCTATCATCTCTTAACCTCTGAAGACAACTTGTTATGTTCTATCATCTCTTAACCTCTGAAGACAACTTGTTATGTTTTATCATCTCTTAACCCCTGAAGACAACTTGTTATGTTCTATCATCTCTAACCCTGAAGACAACTTGTTATGTTCTATCATCTCTAACCTCTGAAGACAACTTCTGTTAGTGTTCTATCATCTCTTCAACCCTGAAGACAACTTGTTGGTGTCTCTATCATCTCTAACCTCTGGAAGACATTAACTTGTTATGCCCCATCATCTTAACCTCTGAAGACAACTTGTTGCGTTTTATCATCTCTTAACCTCTGAAGACAACTTCTTGTTATGTTTTATCATCTCTAACCTCTGAAGACAACTTGTTATGTTCCATCATCTCTTAACCTCTGAAGACAACTTGTTATGTTTTTATCATCTCTTAACCTCTGAAGACAACTTGTTATGGTTTATCATCTCTTAACCTCTGAAGACAACTTGTTGTGTTTTATCATCTCTTAACCTCTGAAGACAACTTGTTATGTTTTATCATCTCTTAACCTCTGAAGACAACTTGTTATGTTTTATCATCTCTTAACCTCTGAAGACAACTTGTTATGTTCTATCATCTCTTAACCTCTGAAGACAACTTGTTATGTTTTATCATCTCTTAACCTCTGAAGACAACTTGTTATGTTTTATCATCTCTTAACCTCTGAAGACAACTTGTTATGTTTTATCATCTCTTAACCTCTGAAGACAACTTGTTATGTTTTATCATCTCTTAACCTCTGAAGACAACTTGTTATGTTTTATCATCTCTTAACCTCTGAAGACAACTTGTTATGTTTTATCATCTCTTAACCTCTGAAGACAACTTGTTATGTTTTATCATCTCTTAACCTCTGAAGACAACTTGTTATGTTTTATCATCTCTTAACCTCTGAAGACAACTTGTTATGTTCTATCATCTCTTAACCTCTGAAGACAACTTGTTATGTTTTATCATCTCTTAACCTCTGAAGACAACTTGTTATGTTTTATCATCTCTTAACCTCTGAAGACAACTTGTTATGTTTTATCATCTCTTAACCTCTGAAGACAACTTGTTATGTTTTATCATCTCTTAACCTCTGAAGACAACTTGTTATGTTCTATCATCTCTTAACCTTTGAAGACAACTTGTTATGTTCTATCATCTCTTAACCTCTGAAGACAACTTGTTATGTTTTATCATCTCTTAACCTCTGAAGACAACTTGTTATGTTTTATCATCTCTTAACCTCTGAAGACAACTTATTATGTTTATCATCTCTTAACCTTTGAAGACAACTTGTTGTGTTCTATCATCTCTTAACCTCTGAAGACAACTTGTTGTGTTTTATCATCTCTTAACCTCTGAAGACAACTTGTTATGTTTTATCATCTCTTAACCTCTGAAGACAACTTGTTATGTTTTATCATCTCTTAACCTCTGAAGACAACTTGTTATGTTTTATCATCTCTTAACCTCTGAAGACAACTTGTTATGTTTTATCATCTCTTAACCTCTGAAGACAACTTGTTATGTTTTATCATCTCTTAACCTCTGAAGACAACTTGTTATGTTTTATCATCTCTTAACCTCTGAAGACAACTTGTTATGTTTTATCATCTCTTAACCTCTGAAGACAACTTGTTATGTTTTATCATCTCTTAACCTCTGAAGACAACTTGTTATGTTTTATCATCTCTTAACCTCTGAAGACAACTTGTTATGTTTTATCATCTCTTAACCTCTGAAGACAACTTGTTATGTTCTATCATCTCTTAACCTCTGAAGACAACTTGTTATGTTCTATCATCTCTTAACCTCTGAAGACAACTTGTTATGTTTTATCATCTCTTAACCTCTGAAGACAACTTGTTATGTTTTATCATCTCTTAACCTCTGAAGACAACTTGTTATGTTTTATCATCTCTTAACCTCTGAAGACAACTTGTTATGTTTTATCATCTCTTAACCTCTGAAGACAACTTGTTATGTTTTATCATCTCTTAACCTCTGAAGACAACTTGTTATGTTTTATCATCTCTTAACCTCTGAAGACAACTTGTTATGTTTTATCATCTCTTAACCTCTGAAGACAACTTGTTATGTTTTATCATCTCTTAACCTCTGAAGACAACTTGTTATGTTTTATCATCTCTTAACCTCTGAAGACAACTTGTTATGTTTTATCATCTCTTAACCTCTGAAGACAACTTGTTATGTTCTATCATCTCTTAACCTCTGAAGACAACTTGTTATGTTCTATCATCTCTTAACCTCTGAAGACAACTTGTTATGTTTTATCATCTCTTAACCTCTGAAGACAACTTGTTATGTTCTATCATCTCTTAACCTTTGAAGACAACTTGTTGTGTTCTATCATCTCTTAACCTCTGAAGACAACTTGTTGTGTTTTATCATCTCTTAACCTCTGAAGACAACTTGTTATGTTTTATCATCTCTTAACCTCTGAAGACAACTTGTTATGTTTTATCATCTCTTTAATATTGTTAAACACTTTTACAGCACAGGTTTTCTTTCTCTAGTTCCACAAA